TCCTGGCTCCCATTATTTCCAATGGGTCTTCCAGCGTCTCCCATTGTTTCCAATGGGCCATTCTGTCCTTCCTTTTAGTACGGGGGGATCTGTTCTTAGACAGTTAAGTTTTAAGAGTTAACGAAAAGGAGAAAGTACTTAAATGTCTGACTCAGTTTATATTGATCTAAATGAAGTGAAGACTGGATGTAGTGAAGCTAGTGAGGATCTCCTCTCTTGGGTTTTTAGTCAGTAGTGGGTTTCTATGCTTTGTCCCGTATACGTAGTCCCCTTTCCCTTTTTCTGTGATAGTTTTTGTAGTTTGAAAAAAATAATAATAAAAAATCCCCTCCGGGGGTTCAAAAAAAAAAAAGAGATTTGCGGGTGGAGCCTCGGGAGGATGGGGGTTGAGGAAGGGGGGGGATCTCCGTTGGGATGCCAGGCTCCAGGAATGACAGCTCCTCTCCAGACCTCAGACGCCAGTTCCCCTGGAGAAAATGGATGCTTTGGAGGGTGAACTCTGTGGCATTTTATTTACCCTACTGAGTGAGGTCCCCTCTCCTCCCCAGGCTCCACCCCCAAATATCCAGGACTTTCCCAACCTGGAGCTGGCAACCCCCCCCCCTCCCCACCAGTGGCCAAGGGGCCCCCGGCTGCCCTACATCTCAGGAGAGTCTAATGGCCAAAGAGTCCAACCTCCAAAACTGCCATTTCCTCCAGGGGAACCAACCTCTGTCATTTGGAGCTCAGTTGTAATTCTGGAAGCACTCGGCTGGGGTCTTACCTGGAGGTTGGCAACCCTGCTTCTTGCCCAGGGAAGGGAAGAGAATGAGGCTTCTTCTCTTAAGATGGGCAATCAAACCTTTCTATTGCTTCCTGGGTGGGTTGTGAGGTTTATTTTTGCCAGTTGCAGCCATCTGACCCCCAGATTTGTTGGGGAGAGGATCCAAGGACGCACTGAACCAGGATGACCATCCTTACAGCCCCCCTGGGGTGTGTTTTTTTAAAAAAAATAATTGTTGCACTTTCATCCCACCCAGTTTTATCCCTCCAAGGAGCTCAGAGTGACTTGTATCGTTTTTTGCTTACAACATCCTTGTGAAGTGGGTTAGGCCCAGTGAATGTGGCTGACCCAAGCTTGCCTAGTGAATTTCAGGACAGTGTTGAGTTTTTAAGGTGGGTCTCTCCCAGATCCTAGCCTGAGTTAACCATTTCACCAATTATATGAAATGTGCAGAGGTGTGTGTGTTTGCAGAATAAAAATGTAAGTTACTCAAAAATCATATTACGTTAAATACAACATAAGTGTTGAATACAGCACTCTTCTGCACTACTTTTTCTCAGATCCTCAGGGCTGAAGACTTTCTCCCATTCTGTGTAAGCTTATAAGTGCCACAGAGTGTTAGTCTGAGCAGCCTAAGGGAAATGCACAAGAGTTCTATAGTGGTGTGTGGGCTACAATCCCATACTGCTGCACAAATCCAATGTCTGCTTGAAAAACCCTGTGTTTTGTAGAGGGGTTTTGTTTGTTTGTTTTGCTAAGAATTGCTTTGACAGAAAGTGAGGCAGAGGAACTGAAGGGCTGTCACTCCCAGTGCAGCATTTACAAGTGCTGAGGCAGAGCAGTAGTAAGCTATATTGCAGGATTATGAGGTTGTTTTCTCCCAGTTCTGGCAACTTACAATATGGGGATAATAAATTTGTTCTGTGCGTTATCAGGGTATTTGTAAAATGTTTAAACAACCCCAAGCCCTTTATATTTGCATAAAATAAGACCTGGATCATAGAGCTGGCAGGGGTCATTTGTTGTTGTTGTTCAGTCACACAGTCGAGTCCGACTCTTCGCGACCCCATGGACCAGATCACACCAAGCCTTCCGGTCTTCCGCCGTCCTCTGAAGTTTGCTCAACTTCATGTTCGTTGCATCAATAACACTGTCTAACCATCTCATCCTTTCCCGTCCCCGTCTTCTTTGACCTTCAGTCTTTCCCAGCATCAGGGTCTTCTCCAGTGAGTGCTCCCTTCTCATTTGGTGGCCAAAGTATTTGAGCTTCAGTTTCATTATCTGGCCTTCCAGGGAACAGTCAGGGTTGATTTCTTTTAGGATTGACTGATTTGATCTTCTTGCAGTCCAAGGGACTCTCAAGAGTCTTCTCCAGCACCATAGTTCAAAAGAATCTATTTTTCGGCACTCGGCCTTCCTTATAGTCCAACTCTCGCTGCCATACATGACTACTGGGAATACCATTGCTTTGATCATGCAGACTTTTGTTGGCAGGGGTCATGCAGGCCATCTAATCCAGCCCCCTGCTCCATGTAGGATCAGCCTAGAGCATCCCTGACAGGTGTCCTATTCTCTGCTGCCAACAGGAACAATTTCCTGCCCTCCTCTACGTGACAGCCTTTCAAATACCTAAAGAGAGCGATCATGTCTCCCCTCAACCTTGTCTTCTTTAGACTGAACGTTCCCGAGTCCATCAGATTTTCCTTGTAGGGCTTTTATTAATATTTCATTTTATTAATATTTGTATACTCCAAGGTAGGAAATTTGAAACTGCATGGTCTTTGCTTTGGGGGAGGGGGGGGGGACATGCTGCTACCAGTCACAGCTCCATTCAAGTCCTGGGTTTCTCTGTTATTTCCCAAAATCAGCTATCGTTCTTACCCCCCAAATAAAAATGAAATGAACTAAAATTATCCCAGAATTTATGTAAACTTCAAATTATATAATTATGTATTCCTGATTTTTAAAACTGCTTGCTTTGTTTTACATTGTAAATATTTAATTCTTGTTATTATGTCTAGAAGCCTGGATGACTTCCCTGAATAAAGAAAACTGAACCAAAAAAAAAAAAGAGAGGTGTTAAAAGTAATCAGGACATTCTGTTTGCAGATGATGGAATTAAGGCCCTATTACTTGCTCAGTCCAGGGCTATTTTTGGGCACCTGGAGATCCCCCAATATTACTAGGTAAACAAAAAAACAAGCAGGACTCAAACTTTGTTCTGCTGCTTCAAACTGAGGCCACTAAAAGGCAGTACCTGGCTCAGACGAGCCCAAAAGGAAGCCATGGCTGACCAGGGCAAGAGCTGCTGAGGGGTATGGAAGCACCAACGGGGAAGCCCTGCCCCATTGGCTGCTTGGTGAAGATCACCTAGCAAGACGACTAAGGCCATGTCTGCCCCATAACCAGATCAGAAGACAGATGGGGAAAACCCTGGAGTTGGACGCCTTGCTGTCAAGCCATGTTCATTGCGCTTACAATAGAACACATCTGCTCTTCACATAGTTTGGCCTATTTAGGACTGACATGTAAGAAAGGCTTCCAATTGATGGCAACGAAGCCAAATTTTCCAGAAGGCCACGGAGGCATCGGTCCACGTGCCTCTCCTCTCCGATATTTCTTCCTTAGCTTTCCTTCCCGCCCTTCCAAATGTTAAAAATGAATCGATTTGCACAGTTTTGGCCTCAGGCAGGAACTTTTTTGCCACCTAAGGAACTGACAGCGTGGCAGGTGATGGTGGCAAATCCCTCTCACCACAAATGTGAATTCTTCAGGTGGGCTTAGCTATTGATATTTCACAGTGCTGCTGGGTACAGTGTGCAAAGGAATACACCTGTGCAACTTGTAACACCAAAAATGGACACCTTTCGGAAAAGGTAAATTTCTACATTCTCACTTCATCCTTCTCATTCAGTTACAGTCTCTATCTCACCCTCTCTTGGTACCTGAGATGTGGATCCCCAGATGGCTGGTTGAGCAGCAGAAAGCAGGATTAATAGGGAAAGGAGGAATTAACCACCCACACACGCACATACACACAATCTGCAAGCATGATCCATATCACAAAAGGACATACCCATGCAACGGCTTTTTACTATTTACAGTGGAATCCTAAAGACAGCAACGCCTTTCTGAAGAAGTGTGCATGCACACGGAAGCTTATAACCAGAATAAAACTTTGTTGGTCTTAAAGGTGCCACTGGACTCAAACTTTGTTCTGATTCAAACCAACACAACTGCCCACCTGGATCTACCTTCGAAGAAGAAGAAGAAGAAGAGATTGGATTTATACCCCGCCCTTCACTTGGAGTCTCAGAGCGGCTTACAAACTCCTTTCCCTTCCCCTCCCCACAACAGACACCCCGTGAGGTAGGTGGGGCTGAGAGAACTGACACAAACTGCTTTTTTTCAAGGACAGCTGTGCCAGAGCTTGGGACTGACCCAAGGTCACATCAGCAGGTGCAAGTGGAGGAGTGGGGGGATCAAACCCGGTCCTCCCAGATTAGAGTCCACAGACTTAACCACTACACCAAACTGGCTCTCTAACAGCTTCTAAGGCTGTTAGGGTTGCCAGTTCTAGGTTGGGAAATACCTGGGGGTTTGACGGGTGGAACCTGGAGAGGGCGGGGTTTGGGGATGGGAGGAACCTCCGTGCGGGACAATGCCATAGAGTCCACCCTCCAAAGCAGCCAGGGGAACTGACCTCTGGAGAGAAGTTGTAAAAGGGGGCAATCTCCAGGCCCCACCTGGAGGTTGGGAACCCCAAATTAGACCACTGTACATTTTGTTTCTACCCCTGCACGCCAAGTCTCAGAGGAAAGCAATCTTGCCTCTCCAGCATCTCATTTAAATCAGCCACGGGACTCTGGGCTTTCCTGTTTTTCTCTCCACATCTGTGACGGGGAGGCCAACGCACACACATCTGCCCGGCCGGGCCCAGGAGCCTCGCCTAACTTTGCAGGAGCTGGGCATACAGGGAGGGTTAGGCTATTTGTGTCTGGAATTGCATGACATCGCTGCTGCCCTCCTCCTGTGCCTGGAACTGGCTGTGCCGCCCGCCTCGAGTCCGAGAAGGAAGCGGAAAAAAATGCACACAGAAGATCTTTTATTTACAGACACCAGTTAACCAATACTTCTGCAACCATATCCTTCTGTATTGGGAGTTCCGCAAAAGGCTGGTGAAATAAAAGTGGTCCAGGCCCTTGCTCATAGGCCTACTTTAAGTTACTTCTGATGTAATTTTGAAGAAAAAAACAGAAGCAGATCAGGAAGGGGAAATCACATCTGGAAATGTGAAGGACAGTCGTTCTTTGCAGCTCCCCCAGTTCCAGAAAGAAGAGCCCGCCCTGCAAGATCAAGGGAGCGAACCTTCTCTTCAGACAGAACGCCTTGGAAGCAGAAGGCACCCAGCCCTCTCTGAGGCAGGAAAAGATCCTGAAAGCCGGAGCAGGAGATAGGTGAGTCCTTTGTTTTGAGGCTGAGGTGCAGTTTGTCACTCGCCAAAAGCCGGAGGCTGGTTCCAGCAGGCTGCAAAAATCTTTGGCTTACAAAATAACCCCAAGGGAGTTCTTGCTGGGATGGCTGGTAAAGGAATGTCCTCCCTGGTTTTATTTTCCATTTCCTTCCCTGCAAGGTTGTGGAGTCCTCCTTTAAAAAAAAAATAATAGAAAATGATTTCTAAGTTGAAGTCGTAGTGCAGAGTTATAACTGATGGAACAGCAAATGAGCAAGGAAGACCTGCTCCTTTTCTGTGAGGCTGGGCCATGCTCCGCCGTTAGTCATCAACTGTTGTTTGCGGAGGGAGCACAGCGCATTTATGCTAACAATAGACCTGCCGGGAGAGTTTCCTTTGGTTCTGTAGTGCTACACAATTATTTAAGTACAGTATGTCACTGAGGAATGTCAGCTCACTTACTTCTTGTAGAAAACACCAGAGAAATGTTGAGATCCTAAACTCCACCTCCCATAACACCCCCCAAAAAACCCCAACCGTTAATTGCTCAGGTACAATAAAACAGGTTTGCTTTCTGACCACCTTACCAGCAATTCCCTTGTCTAGATCCCAGTTCTCACCAAGGTAGACGGCAACTGTAGGCTTGTGTCTGGGCTGCACCGCTTTCGATGGCAAGCTGCAGCTTACATGACAGATCACAACAATGCCCTGCATGTTGAAAACTAGCACCTTAGGCAGGACGTAGAGTTGCCAGCCTCCCGGTGGTGGCTGGAGATCACCAGGGGTTACAACCAATGTTCCCTCTAAGCTATGGAGTCTTGTGAGCAAAAATTCTATTTTGTGAGCTACTGGCATTAAAATTGTGAGCGAACAATTTGGCTGCTGCATAAATTTGTGGGCTCTGGAGTCATCCTTCCTGAGCCAAGACAAAAATGTGTGAGCTGGAGGCTAAAAAACTGTGAGATAGCTCACACTAACTCAGCTTAGAGGGAACAAGGGTTACAACTGATCACCAGGTGACAACGATCAGTTCATCAGGAGAAAATGGCCACTTTGGAAGGCGGACTGTATGGCATTGTACCCCACTGAAGTCCTCCCAAACCCCACCCTCCTCGGGCTCCACTGCCAAAATCTCCAGGAATATTTATTTTATTTATATTTATCTATTTTCGGATTTGTATCCCGCCCTCCCCGAAGGCAACCTAGTGAGAAGACTTTTAGCCATTTCCTTGTAGGGTTGTCAGGTCCCTCATGGCCACCAGTGGGGGATGGGGGGTAGTGCTAGGCTTGCCAAGTCCCCCTGGGGGGCGGGGAAACCCCTGCCCCAGAGGCCCGTTCCCCGCCAGCGGCGGATCTGGCCCCAGGGGGAACTCCACCCCCATGTGCACGTCACCCGGAAGTGACGCGGGTACACCGGGCACGCTGGGGGCGGGGCCAGGACCATCCGAGGGAAAACTCTATGGTTACCCCGGATAACTCTCCCAGCTGTCTGGTCTTTCCAGGCATGCCTTAAGCCCTCAGGTTGCCAACTCTAGGTTGGGAAATTCCTGGAGATTTGGGGGTGGAGCTTGGGGAGGGGAGGGCCCTCAGCAGGACTATGCCATAGAATGTACCTTCCAAAGCAGCCATCTTCTCCAGGGGGACTGATCTTGGTCGTCTGGAGACCAGTTGTAATTCTGGGAGATCTTCACACACACCCCACCTGGAAGCTGGCACCCCTAGTTCACTCAGCCCATCCCTTCTTTGCACGCACCTCAGTCACGCCGACCTCCATGCCCTTGGGTGGGAGCAAAATAATATTTTTGGGCAGGAACGCACAGGAACAGAGTTCCAGCTGGCTTCCAAGTTGGCCACGCCCAGCAGGAACTCATTAGCATAATAGGCCACACCCAACAGCAGAAACTCATTAGGATTGGCTACATTAGGGGTATGTGGCCTAACATGCAAAGGCGTTCCTGCTACAAAAAAGCCCTGGGTTTTGACAACAAACAAGGTAAACAGAATAAGAAGCAAAAGGTGGGTGTGGCTGGATGAGCACACTTCTGGTAACATGGGTGTGTGGCCTAATATGCCAATGAGCTGTGCTGTCAGGGGTGTCGCCTAATATGCTAATGAGTTTCTGCTGTTGGGTGTGGCCTATTATGCTAATGAGTTCCTGCTGGGCTTTTTCTACAAAAAAAGCCCTGGTTATGCCGCATAGCTGCCTTTCCAGACATACCGGGACAGGATGTCTGCCATTCGGCACCTGGTCTATACAATACACATATGGCCAAAAAAAAAAAAAAAGATAGATTGGCAGAATGAAATCTTTACTGGCGGAGAACAAACAGAAAGGACTACACATTGGTCAAGAGGGATACCAACAGATACCGTCATCTCTTTTCCAGCGAAAAGAGGTTTGTCTTGGTGGGATTGCAGTACTGCCTGGGGATGTGCCATCTCTTTTATTCAGTTTATGAAGGGAAGGGGTATTTGCAGTCTCTCAAATCTCAGCTTTTGGGAGGCCCTCTCCCACCCATGCAGGGAAAGTAGGTCAGGAGCCAAAGGTCCAATCTGTATTGGTCTTTCCTGCCGCCGTGCCAACGATCTCACATCATCTCAAAAATTTCTGTCTGCATTTCATGACGCATCCGCTCTCCTACTGTTTCATCTTAGCATCGGCCGTCTGCATCAAGTTATTGTCATTTAGTGGCGACTCCGAGGTCACTACAGTGTCCCACTATGTTATTTGGATTTGGTTTTAAGGTGGTTTAATCGCTCCTCCCTGCTCTCAAGCTGCTGTGAGCGATAAGCAGACAACTGGAGCCGAATTCTCCCCCCTCCCCATCTGTTCTAAGGAGATGCACAAATTGTCACAAAGGAAACTAGTTAGCTGAAAATCCAGTCATTTGCGTTTAAGGCCCACTCTGCATCTAGTATTTGCTCCGCTGTTTTACCAAACCCACACTGGGACAGAAAAAGATGCGGCTCAAAACCACATTCAGATACCCCAGGTTAATGCCGTACTGACTGCAGTCACCCCTGAATGGCCATAAAACGACCATAAATCTATGCTGACAGCCACCATAAAACCAGAGATCAAATGAAGTGAAAGCGGCATGCAGTCTGGATGCTGCTATAAAATTCAACAATCAATCAAAGCAGAGGTCATTTCGGGGGGGATCGCGGGGGATCGCAGTTTCCCCGAGTGAGGTACGGGGGCGGGGCACATGATGAAGCCCCGGCCCCTGCTTCCGGCCGCCCCTCTTCCGGCCCTCATTCAGCCAGGAGGAGGCAGGAGAAGAGGGAGGGTAAGTTGCTTCCTCCCTGCCTCTCCCCACCCCTGCCTGCCTGGGGCCAGGGAGGGCCTTTGCGGGGCTTCCTTGCCCTCCCGCCGGCCTTGCAGGTCCACCGCCGGGCCCCTCAATGGGGCTC